GGGCCCTGCGGTGCTCGGAGGGGAGCCCCCTGTGTTCGGCTAGGCGCCACCCGCCAGGTGCCGTGGTGCCCGTGGCGCTCCGCGGTGTCTCCCATTTCCCGCGCTAGTCCCACGCGCCGGGAGCAGGGAGAGTGAACGGCGAGCCCGGGGTGGCGGCCGCCCCCTTCCACGTGTCCCGGACACAGCCCCGGGAGGGCGATGGAACCGCCTCCCCCACGGCCCAGTCTCCTGGTGCCGCCGCCCCCCTTCTAGGGCCTCACCGGGGCCTCTTCACGGTGGGGGGTTGGGGTGGGGAGAGAGGGAGGCAGGGAGAGCGCGGAGGTCCTGACCCCCGGGGCACTTACCCTGCTTTCCCGGGAGGCGGGGCCGGCTCCCCCTTGGTTCTGACGGAAGGTCTGTGTGGGGAAGGCGTTGGGGACGGGGACGGGGACGAGGAAAAGGACCGGGACCTAGAGAGCAAACGGACACGTGAGGAGGGAGCACTGCGGTGCCCTGGTCCCGACCAAGGCCAGAGACGCTGCCTGCCTTCGCAGAAGCGGTCACGGCAAGTCTCGGCCTTGGATTTACAACGGCTTTCGGGTGTTCCCGGTCCTCTCCTCAAACAGCAGCGGGAAAAGCAGTCACCAGGCCGGGGGTCCTGCCGCCCTGGGAGCCGCGTGGGCGGGACAGCAAGGACACACACAGCCCGACCTGGCCCGGTGACAGCGGTGGGACAGAGGGCTGCGTGAGGGAGCCGGGCACGGAGGCCTGGGGCGGGGGTGGCTCCTGATGGAGGACAGTCTGAGGCAGTCTCCGACGTGAGCAGCAGGATGGGGGCGCTGGCCGGGAGGCTCTGAGGCCGGCCAGGCTGCCTCCTCCGTCCTGGGACCCAGCACACTCTCCCAGAGGAGGGAGCCTCCGAGAGGCTCCGGGTTTGCCGATTTCTCCCGACCTGGAGACTGTGGCGCAAAACGCGCGACGTTTTCGGCCAAACGAGCAGCAGCTAAACGCCTTGAGCCCCTGCGGTCACCGCACGGCGGTTTTACAGACAGAGGCGCGGACACGTGCCGCACTCTCCTGTCCTCACGCTCGCTCGGCTGGGGCCGCCCGCCGTGGGAGTCCCGAGGGAAGGCCTTGCGAGGCCACGCGACCCCGCGCCTCCGCCTGGGGCATCCTCAGAGGCGCTGCCACGCAGCCCCGACCGCTAAGGGTGTGCACGGGGGAGGGGTCCGCGGGCAGTGGGCAGCAGGGGTGTCCGGGCAACCCGAGGAGGAAGGTCAGGTGGCCAAGGACGTGTGGCTGATTTTGTGAAAATGGCTGAGACGTCTACATTCGTGATGTGAGAAGATCCCGAAGCCGACGAGGGAAACTGGGTCTGGGACACAGGGCTGGTCCCGGGGGGTGGCTCTGCAGAGCTGGGTGACAAGGACGCCTCACTGTGCCGCGGGCCTCCAGCCCATCCCCCTCAGCGCCTTCGAGGCCCCGCAGAGCAGACACCGCAGGCGACATCTTGCCCTCCTGGCACCACTAGCATTTCCAAAACTTCCCAATCTCTCAGCGGGGCCTCAGGCCCACAGCTCACCGTCCGTGTATCCTAAACGAGGCCACACACACAGACTCTTGCCACTGATGCTCTGGTTGGTATCCTTTCCGTCTTCTACCTCTCCTCCCACAGGTAGCCTTCCCTGATTGCCCCGTGACCTGCAGCCTTCCTCTGTACCCCTCGAGTATAGCTTAAAACCCCTGGCCAAAAGGTTGTGAGGCCTCAGTGCCCACAGCTGACCCTCTAGACACCCTCAGAAACAGGCTGCTTTTCTTTCTCTTGGGCTGCACAAGATCCGACGTCCACAGAAAACAGGCCCCACGTAACCCACTCCACCTGTCCTGCACTCAGACTACCATCTCGACCATCGGGTCCGGCGGCTCCAGCGATCTCCTAACGCTGCTCTAATCATCTCTGTAAGTGCCCCGAAGCAACCGTTTGCCAGGAAGGGGTGCCACCGTGGGACCGACCAATCTAGTCCAAGAGCGCATGGTGATACACTTCCCAAATGAGCGTGTGCATGCGTGTGGGCACAGGTGCGCGCATGTGCGTGTACACGCGTCTGGCCTGTGTGTGGTCCTGGTCAAGGACTGGGATGACGATGTCTCTGGCCGCGGCCGTCCAGGGGCGCGGGGTGCACCCCGGGTGCTGTGCAGGCCGCTGCACGGGTGGTCCTCCACTCCCCACTGTCCTGTGGTCTTGGACCCCTCCTCTCCTAAATGAACCCCGAACGGGACTAAGGGAAAGAAAGGGAAATGCTTGGGCTTCCCCGCCAGGCGTCTCTGGCAGGCGGGATGAGGCAGAAAGGGCCTCAAGCAGCTGGCATCTGCCCACAGGCAGGAGAGGGGGGCGCGGCTGGAGCACACACCATCTGCACTGGTTAGGAAAACAACAGCAGCGAAACAGAGCCCCAGAACGGTCCCGTTTGTCATGCTGACCGACGACTTTGTTCCGACACAAATGACTGAAGAATTCCCCAAGATTCCAGAGCCTATTTTCAATGTGGGAAAATACACCTCTTGTGTGATCTTTCCAGAAGCGTCCAGCAGAACTTCCTGTGACGATGGAAAAGTTGTAACATCCCCAGATGGGGCTCACGCACAGCCCAACACTCTGTATCAGAGTAAGGATCGTCGCACGTGGCTGCGGGCCCAGCGGACAGAGGGGGTGGTCGGGCCGTGGCCCTAGTTCCCACCAGGTCCGAGCCCGCAGCACCCACCCAGCGTCACCTTGCCTCGTGCCCTTCCTCAGAAGACGGCGTGAGACGCACAGCTTATGCCGTCCAAGAACAGCAGAGCAGCCCGGAAGGGCGCCGTCAGACACAGGCCGCGCCCTTGGGCGCCCGCACTGGCCACGTGTGGCGGCCGGGACATACCTGGAGCGGCTGCCTGAGAACGAGCTGTGTCTGGAAGACCGGCTGGAGTAGGAGCTGTAGGAGGAGGATCGGGAGCGCGACCGGGACGACCCGGAGCCGGAGTAAGAGGACGACCGCGACGAAGACCTGCAGTGCCGAAGACAGGAACGCGAGTGGTGCCCGTCTGCCTCGGCCCGTGGCCCGCCCCCCGGTGCCGGCCCACTGGCCTCGCTATTGCCGGGTGACGGCTCGCGGGCCCCGGGTGGACGGAGCCAGCACAGGTGCGCCCACGCGTGCGGGACAGCACGTCTGACCTGTGCACATGCACACGTGTACTTATCGGCCCCTGGCGCACGTCACGAGAACCCCAGATCCACCAGGACCTCTCCGGTCTCCGTCCACCACCGCAGGCTCCCCCCACCTGGGGCTGCACCCTCGTCTGTTCAGACCCGGTGGACGCACAGAAGCCCCAACTCACAGAAAGAGAAGGGCTGACCCCTCTGCCCTCACCGGGTCCGTGCTCCCGGCTGGGTCGCCAACATCCTGGCCGGTCTCAAGTGTCTATTTTGGGGGGGCGTGAAGCCTTTCTGAGGCTCCGAGCATCGGTTCTGTTTGCCGCTGATGATCTAGCACCCCAGCTTCTCAATAATCTCGGAACAGACACCCCTGCAGTCCCACTGACTGTCCTCAGGCGGGGGCGGCGTGGCCGTCCGGTGGTGTGGATGAACCGGCTAACTTCGACCAGCTGGCCTCCTTACCTGGAGGAATTGGAGGCAGAGGCCGACGAGGCGGATGTTTTCCGACGCCTTCGTGCCCGGCTGGGGGAGACAGACACCCCGAGTTTCTTCTTGGGAGACTTGGACCGACGCCAAGGGTCCTTCCACTCGTCTGCTCGCTTCACCTGCGGGCCGGCAGCGGTGGCCTCCTTCTTTGGTGGCTCAGTTTGACGGCTAAAATCACAGAGATGTTAGCAACGCTGGGACCCCTTCCATGAAGGCGCCGCTGTTTGGTGAAGGGAACCTTATAAGAGGTGAGATCATGGTGTTAAGTGCCTTATTCAAGGGAAGCCTGACAAATAAAGGGTCGCCTATGGGGGCGGCAACAGTCCACCGACAGCAGAGCTCATCTCGAACAAGACAGCAGAGCTCGCTCCGTGAACGGTCTCCCCGCGCATGCGTCCTTCCTGGGGACACACCCATCTTTCTCCCTCAGGACACCTAACCACATTGGTACTTACCTTTTTGGGTGTACCTGCTTCCTGACCTCCTATCTTCCCCACCCACGCTACAAACTCTGGGGAGGACAGGGACAGAGGTGGCCCATCCAACACGCTCTCTGTGGAGCTGGCACGCAGGTGCACAACAAATACTTAATTTAAGGATAACGAAGCACTTTTTGTTTTCACATGCATTAGAGATTTGACGAATCACGAAACTCAAGCCTTAAACGGTTCGTTTGTCGTCTGAGTTAGGTTTTTTTTCAACGTTTTTATTTATTTTTTTGGGGACAGAGAGAGACAGAGCATGAACGGGGGAGGGGCAGAGAGAGAGGGAGACACAGAATCGGAAACAGGCTCCAGGCTCTGAGCCATCAGCCCAGAGCCTGACGCGGGGCTCGAACTCCTGGACCGCGAGATCGTGACCTGGCTGAAATCGGACGCTTAACCTACTGCGCCACCCAGGCGCCCCTGAGTTAGGTTTAAAGAGGCTGGTTTAATTCACCCAGAGAATATCCTGATCAAAGCCAGAGAGGCAGGGTGGCGGGAGGAGGCAGTGGCCCAGAGAGGGGTGCTCCTCCGTGACAGCCGTTAATGCAAGCGTCAGGACTGAGGGCTAGCGGGCCAGTATGAGGGACCCTGCCAGGCCCGATGAGCAATCTCCCCCAAATCTCAGCGGGGCTGCATCCGTGGTAACCACAAGTGGACAGAAGTCACCTGGAAGAGAATCAAGGCTGCAGTGTGAGAGCCACACTCTGTGGTGGACGGCAGGCTTCCGGCAGAAGAACCAGGGAGCCCTCCTTAAAGGCGGTGGGAGGTGCTGGGCGGCTGAGTCCTAGACGGGTGAGCCCGTCCACACCACCCAGGAGCTCATGGCAGAGACAAAGTGGGAGAAGGGACCTCAGCAGCCCAACTTGGGAGGAGGCCCAGCACTGGTCAGGGCGCCCTGTGCCACAGATACACCCCACAAACCAAAACCTCCTCCCCTAATAAGGAGCCAAAGTATAGGATCCCAGACAACTAGCAGTTGTGTGCTCGTCCCGGGATATAGTTCTTTATTAATTAAATACTATAAAGTTCATTTAAAAAACACAGAAAGTACAAACAAGGAAATAAATAAAAATCCTGTCCTCCCATTTTCCAGAGACGGCCAGCATCTCTTTACGCCTCTGCGCTCCCTTCCCCCGCACTCTGTCGGCCACAACGAACACTCGCGTGTGCACTCACACCCACTGTACACACGACCCGCCTGGTGAGCGCTCGGCTGCAACGGGGCGCCTCCCCGTGGCACCTGCTGTGTAAATGGGGTCTTCCCGGACCGTGTGATGATCCACACCACATGTCACGTGCCACAGAATTCCAACATTCCTACACCATCGGCTGTTTCTAACCTATAATGCTAAAATAACCCCTTCTACGTTCACGGACAACTTGTTTCTTCTAAGAGCAAACTCCTGAGAAGTCAAAACGGTGGGTCAAAGGAAATGAACGTTTTACAAGTTAAGTATCTTCCCCAAAGCGAAACCAACCTGCGCTCGCTCGGCAGCATGAAGGCGCCCACGTTACCTCGTTCTCACCGTGCGGGTTCCCGTGTTACCAGGGAAACACAAGATAAACCCTCAACGTGGCAACTGCGTATGTGGAAAGGGCTCCCGGTACCTGTGGCGGCAGCTGGGGCTGGAAGGCCGGCCCCCGCACCTCCTGGCCACCCTGAACTCTGGCGGTCGGCCTCACTCTTGGCCACTTTTCTGCTAAGTTCTTTACGTGGGAGGGAGCCCTTCACGGTCCCGCGTCTGTCCCCGGCTACCGGCTCTCAACTCTGGTGGCATCGAATGGGCTCCTTCTCTTTCCGGCACACGGGTCCCACTCCACTCGGAGCCGCCCTCGCCTGTGTTTTTCTTCTGGGTGATCTCGAGTTCCTTCCTTTCTTTCTTGTGTTAACAGTCCACTCTTTGGTGTGCCCGGAGTTGCGGTTTCTGTCTGCGACGCGTAGGGCAGAGCACAAGGTGGTGTGAGGGGAGGGGGCCCACGGCGCTGGCCGGCTTCTCCGTCAGGGGCTCTGGGATGCGGGGCCACCTCTGGTGTGTGTGTTTCACTCTCGGGGGGCCGGTGTCTCATGACCCGGCTACTCCCCTCCCTCCAGGATCGTCCCCCCGGGAGGTGCACGGTCCAGAAGCCCCGACGCTCCGAGTTCCCCAAGGTGCTCGGCCTCGTGCCTGCAGACGCTGTCCCCCCACCAGGCCTCCCGTGGGTGTGTTCCTAAGCTAAGAGCATCTTGCCATTCACCCAGGCCTTCCCTCGTGGGGGCCGTTTTCTTCATAAGAAGTCCTGCCTTTTTTGGGTAGAGTTTTAGCTGCTGCGGATTCTCCACCACCACCAGCATCTGAGCCTCTCGGTTCCCCTTGGCTTTGCCGTGACCAGCATCCAGTATATCACATCACGATATGTAAAAACCGTCACCTGCCGACGTCTGCAGAACCACCAGCGAGTTTCAGGTCTGCTACTTGCGAAGGATCCCGCAGCAGAAGCGAAAACCAACATTTAAAACTGCCCTAGGGACACACTAAATTGAAGCATAAGATCCCCGTTTTGTCGGCCCCAAACCCCGAGAGACAATGCCACATAAGCTCGTAAGCATGTCCTCCGAGGAAAGTAATCCCGGGAGGAAGTAAAAACCTGTCGATTCCAGCCTGTCCCAGCTGTCCCAGGCTGCCATCACCTTTCCACGTCCTGTGCTGCTCTCATTCTAAAAATGCAACAGGAAACAGAACACCTTGGTCACCGGGTTTCCATGAGTCATCGAACGGCCCAGCTTGGCCGGTCTGCGGCCCGTCTACCAGGGGCAGCAAAGTGGCCGAAAAAGGGACAGGCCTGTGACGCTGCCGTGACTGCACCGAGGGCCCCTACTGCAGTGAGCAGAGAAAGGACAGAACACCGATCTGTCCCCATCACAGCACTGAGGTCACCGAGCGGAGGCCAAAGCAGGCTCCCGTCCTGTTTTAGAGTCAGTGTTTCTTGCCAGGGACACCCTTTCACTCACACTGGGGTGACACTATGGGCTTCACAATGAGCTGCCCCTTCAACAGTGCTGGAACGGGGCCTGGGGGCACTGTGGGGGCCTTGCTTCTGAAGGGCTGGATGCCTGGTAGTGACCCCATGAAACCAGGGATCCCCAAACTGTGGCAAATGGGGGTCTTGGTTTTAATTAATTAGCACACAAACAACCATTTTTACTTCTGATTTATTTCTATAGTGACTCACTAGGACAAATGATCTGGCCTGCTTTATGGAAATGATGTAAAGTTTCCTTTTTAAACGTATTCAAGCTTAAAAAGTGAAAACATCAAAAAACGTAAGTAGCACATGTGGGACCTGGACACAGAAAGCCGCGCAGGTGGAGCAAGAATGGAGCAGTTTGGGGAGCACGTTGAGCCAGGGGTCCCTTCTGCAGACCCCCCACGTCAGACACTGCCGAGAGGGGCCGCAGACTTGGGGACCCAGACCAGGAAGAAACTGTCTCAGGCCTCGACACAAACCTGGAACCATCAGTTTTGATGGCAAGTGTTTCTGGGAAAATGACCGAAGGAACACCCAATAAAGAGCTCACAGGAAGTCCCACTGGGAAATGTGCACAGGATGCTGGGGACGGCCGGGAGAGGGCAGACGAGGCATCCCCAGACTCCCAAGCGGGTGGGCACGTGTGGCTACGGGTGACAGCAGCCACCTGGTCCACTGTCTTTCCTTCTTCACCGTTTCCTCTATTCTTCGTAAGGTTTTCCAAAAGTTCCTACACCATAACGTTTCACATTTGTTACAGAAAAACCCCAAGTCCTAAAGATTTTTCCACTCCTGCAGAGGGAGCGGTCTGCTATACTGACCTGCACACACTCTCGGGATCTTTATCAGTGCCCTGCTCTCACCTCTCATGGGGCCTCAGAGGAGGAAGGGGCCCCGAGCTCTGGGCTGCGGTGGGCAGCACAGGGCGGGCAGAGGAGTCCAACACAACCCGGTCAGTGAGGGGGCAGAGCCCGGGCGGCCGGCTCTGAAACCCTGGGCAGTAGCGCCCCTGACACGGGGCCCCATGGCGGCTCCTGTGCCCTCAGAGAGAGGCCAGGCCCCTGAGGATGAAGCCCCTTTCAGAGAGTGCCGACACCCCAGAAGAGAGAGCGCGCGTGGCCTGGAAAACCAAGCAAAGTCGCCAAGTGACAAAGGACCTCGTGGAGACAGAAAGCAGCGGAACTGCTCCCCCCCCGCCCCCCCCAGCTTGAGACTCAGCCCAGAAACAGGAACAGCGAAGTCAGCAGGTGACTGGGGAGGCCAGGCCCAAGTCAGGAACGCGAGTGGAATTTGCATAAAGCCTTCCCAAGGGAGAGGGGAAGCCAGGCTCCTGTCCCTCCGCCGAGGAAGTGGCCTTCCCAGCACAGCTACAACACAAGCTTATCTTCCGGGTACAGAGCCTTTGTTCAAGGCCTCGGAAGACACTCCAAGGAGCAAAGGTCAGCCGTACCAGGACTGCCAAATGCCCACGTCAGAACACAAAACGACACAGGGGCCCGGGTCGACTCCTGACACGCCTCATGTCTCACACGGGCCACAGGGGTGTGAGGTGGCGGTGACGTAAGAGGGTGACGGAACGGTGTCTGGAAACTCCGAGCTGAGCGGCTGCCAGGCGTGGGCTCCAAAGCGGAACAAGGTGAAAGCAGAAAGGAGTTCTTCTAAAATCAAAGGGCTAAG